GGGGGGGGGGGTGTACCTTATTTTGGGGTCCTTATAATAAGGAACCTATTATTTAGGGTACTATATTGGATCCCCTATTTTCGGAAACCCCCATAACTCTCAACCCCAAGTACAACCCCGAAACATGAATCGGCAAGTCTCACACTGTCGCCAACCTCTTTTTCTCGAGTCGGGCTTTGGATGGTCAACCCATGAAACAGGGTTTCAGGCTTTGGGGCTTCAGAGTTGTCTGGGGCTTAGGGTTTAGGGTTTAGGGTTTGACTTAGGGTTTAGGGGTCAGGGTTTAGGGGTTAGGGTTTCGGGTTTCAGGTATCAGGAACACGAGAAACAGCCGCACTGCCTCAACACCAAACCTTGTTTTACTCATAGTCTCCAATAACTTATTACATATTCTTCCCCATGAAAGTCTGAAACTCCACATCCTGCAACCCCATTAGGTTTGGGATGTTGCTCAGAGTTAAGGGTTTCGAAAACCGGACGCCTAAACACTGATATAACTTACCATAAGATATTACACTATAATGTACGCTACTACTGTGTAAAAGGCTGAAATTTCGAGTGCAGTAACACTAACATACTAAACTATCATAGCGGATTAAGCCTTATGGTACAAGCGAAGAGACTAGAAACGTATACTACATCGTTCTGTAAATTACAGTCATACCTGACCAATATTCATGCAAGCCACTGTCATGGACAATATACGATCATAGTTTGTAACAAACAATAGACTATATCCTATATAATGCAAGATAAAAAAACCCAAAACCGACAAGTTTTTTGAGACATATCCTAAACCCTAAACCCTAAACCCTAAACCCTAAATGTATAAAACTGTTTCGAAGGCCTCCACGGCCTTCTCCGTGTCTGCCTGTTGGTCCATGAACCTGGCCTTCAAGTTTTGGGGTTTAGGGTTTTAGGGCTTTTGAAATTGAGGGTATAGGGCTTTCGGGGTTAGGGCTTTTTGAAATTTAGGGTTTAGGGCTTTTAGAATTTAGTGCTAAGGGCTTTCTGGGGTTAGGGCTTTCAGGGTTCAGGGGTTTAGGGCTTTCGGGGATATGGTTTTTAGGGTGCTCAGTTCCATAAGGGTGGCTTTTCAGGGACACTGATTGCGCGAGTGGCGTTCTACAGGGGCTTACGGTTGTTAAGTCTTCAGTGTTGAAGGTTTGGCCTTTTGTATAGGGTCTTATAGAGGACTGAATGCCCAGAATCAAATATCCCTATCAGCTCCTCTATACCACCCGAACCAGCACCTCGTTTTAAATGGTTCAGGCCACTCTAACTGGGGGTTTCCGAAAATAGGGGACCCTAATATAGCACCCGAAATAGTAGGATCCTTATTATAAGGAGCCCAAAACAAGGTACCCCTTATATTCGGAAACTCTCAACTTGAAACAGCTACAGCCCAAAGCCTAAACTCTGCGTTGCACGCTGACCCCTAAACCCAAAGGCATGGCCCTCCGACTGGGTTGCTGGTTGAGGAACTTAGCTGAGGCTACTATAACAAGGGAACTCTATTATTCACTATATATGTGTTGAGGAACTTAACTTAGGTTGCTATTACAAGGAAACTTTCTTATTCACTATATATATATATGTGTTGAGGAACTTAACTTAGGTTACTATAATAAGGAAACTCTATTATCCGAGATATATGTCCATTATGGTAGGTTAAATTAAATTAAAATCAAGGAAACTTTATTATTGACTATGTATGTCCATTATGGTAGGTTACATTAAGTTCAAGGAAAATTCATTATTCACTATATATGTCCATCATGGTAGGTTAAGTTAAGTTCCTCAGCAGCACCCAGCCTAAGGCTGTCTTATCTTTCCTGCATGCTTGGTGGCTACTTAGCCGACAACCGCCTCGGCCGGTACCGGAGACTTGCAGCACTTGGGAGCAATTCTAAGCTGGCACTTGGAGGTTCATGGGTAGTTATAAGTAGGGTAATAAGTCCCCTAATATGGGGTATAAGTATAGTTATCCTACTTATAACCTTACTTATAACTACCCATGAACCTCCAAGCAAGCCTTTGGGGGGGAGGAGGATTGTGACTAACACGCGTGATCACGATCAAGCTACCAGCTGCGATGAGGATGATGGTGATGATGACGATGGTTAAGCTTTCGGGGCTCACTGATTGGAGAGGGATGCGTTGGTTTGATGACTTCTCGCAGTGCGTGCCTCCGACAGAACGTCGGCATAGAAAGCACCTACTTCTGCCGATGTTTTGGGACACGGCCCACTCATGTCTTGATTCTTGATGCCTTCTAAGGATTCACGGGAACTCGTTAAGCATTCTGACAGGTAAGCAACTATGTGCAGGATATTTGCATCATTTGAATAGAAATCCATGCATATTCAGGATCGAGGGCGTGCCAACACAACCAGCACCTTCACCAAGGACAATTCCTTATGCTTGCACTTTGTCCGACAAGACAATCATCGCAGCCTGCATGCTGTAACCATGACTGTCTGGTCGTTTTTTACAGGATATCGGGAGGCCGACATTCGGACCGACTATGAGCCAGTCACCCCTGCAGTGAAAGCCTGACACCCGCACGCTTCGAAGGATTGTTGAGCTTATATGGAAACCGAAAGTAATGTAGGGGCCTATATAATTACCAATACTATTTTGGGAGGTCCTTATTATAAAAAAAAGTATATTGAGCCCCAAAACCTACTCTACTTATTAAGGCCCCTACATCATTGATCCCTATACCCAAAACCCGGAGCTGCTGAGTAGGATTCTAGAGGGAGGGCGGGCTCGGGGAACCGCTTTTTGACTCCAAACCCAGCAGGAACTCGCAGGACGGATTGGAGGTGTTGGCTTCCAGATTTCGAGTCGGATTGTTGAGGCAGTCGAGATCCGAGCTTACAGCCTGAAACGCTGAGCCCTACACCCTAAGTTCTGAGCCCTAGACGTCACCAGAAGGGAAACAAAGGGCTCTGCCAATGAAGGTCTCCTTGTAGAACCCTTGGCAGCGGCCTCTTAGTCTACCCGCATTCGTGTTGCTGTTCGGAGTTTGGGATTCGTATTCGACTTAGTAGTAGCTTGTGATACTGATACTTATGTGCCTTACACCCTGCCTCAAACCCAAACCTACCGCTCACCTGGGGATTCAGGGCTTGGGCAGCGCATCGAATGAGCCGCCGAGGACCATCCTATACTTCGCAGCTGTCTATGTCCTGGGTGTCCTGATTGTGGCCTGTTCTGCGCACCTTGGCGGCAGTCGGAGCTTGAGTCTACTTAGGGGAAACCTTTAACCTTTTGGGGCCTATATGATCTTACATTAGAGTTTGAAAGGCTAACCCTCTGTCCCTAAAGCACCGGCAAAGGCTCCGTCCTGTTCGGCCGAAATCTGCCAGCAGGGACCGTTCAGAGGCTTCCTTAGTTGTAGAGTAGGTAGCCTTTGACCTTTTCTAGGGTAGTGTAATCCATATATAATCCCAAAGGTTAACCTTTAGTCCCCCAGGATTCTGAATAATTAGGCTTCTAACAGCTGCACCGAGGATTCCGGATCTTATGGAATCGTCCTTTGGTGTGCCACTGTACCTGTGCCCTGGCCTGGTCATGAGAATCTTACCGAGGGCTTAGTGTTTAGAGTTTGTGTCTTCAGGGTTTTAGCGTTTAGGGTTTAGGGTTTAGGGTTTTTTCAGGGTTTTAGGGTTCAGGGCTTATGCAAGATGCCACTCGGACGATCCAGAAGCACCATGACTTGTGGGTTCACTACGAACAAAACTTACGAATTAAGTCAGCCCTGTTGAGCTTGCCGGTGAGCTCGCCCGGACGCCGACCACACTGACCCTGGATGAAAGAATCGCACATCGGAGACTACAGGATTGACATTCGCCGAGACCTGTGTTCTCATAATGCCCGCAAAAGAAGGGATCAGGGCTTAGGTCGACGGGTGGAGCAATACAGGGGCTTCAATACTTACCAATACTATTGCGAGGGCTCCTTGTTGTGATTATAGTACAATATACCCCGAAGCCTTATTCTACTTGTTAAGGCCCCTACATCAGAAGGCCCAGCGGCATACTTGGTGAAGCTCTGAGAGCTGAGGATTTCGGGAGGGACTGTTGACTGTGACAGTCTGGTTCCGCAGCACAATAAACCCTAAACCCTAAACCAACGCCCTAGAATGTAATGGTGCCACTTTCTCGGTGCGGATAGGGTCCAGCCCGCTGCATTCCCCAAAACCCCCTCAAACCACTACCTTAGGAACCCAAAACCTACTTTTTTGTAGGGTCCCTATAAATCCCATATTAGGGTTTATAATAAGAACCTACAGAAAAGTGGGTTTTGGGTTCTTCAGGTAGACCCGAGGCCTCTGGAGCCCGGAGACTTGAAAGAAGGCCTTGCCTTTTTGGTCGGTGTAATCGTAGGATGCCCATAGTTCCGAAGGGGGGTGGGGGGGCGCGAGGAGTCCCGTCTTTTAAACTTTGACGTATATAGACCTTAATCCCCCAAGCCCTAAACCCGGCAAAAAAGCGTCTGGGAACCATTTCTTCAGGCTCGGCGCTTTCGTGTTCGTGGCCCTAGGTTGCCCGGCAGCAGTCCAGGACACCTGAAGTCGGGGCAGACGGCAATTTGTGTACGATTATCGAGTTTAGGTGGTGGGGTTGCAGATATGGGTGGTTGTCAAAATTATGGTCCCTTTTGGGTCCTTACTATAATACGGCACCTATTATTTAGGGTACCCCAAAAAGGGACCATAATTGTGACAACTACCCATATGTGTGCTTTTTCTGTGGCGCATAGGTTTCATGTTCTCATCGTATGCGGTTAAGGGGTTTGGAGATTGTTTGGGCTTTGGGGGGCTACGGTTGTGGACCCTGCGTTCAGGAGCCGTGGCATAGGGGAGTTTCAGAAAGTTAGGGGTACCTTATTTTGGGGTCCTTATAATAGGGATCCTATAATTTAGGGTACTATATTAGGGTCCCCTATTTTCGGAAACCCCATAGAGTTTGGGAGTTTAGGCTTTTAGGATTGAGTTCTTGGATTAAGGCTAGGTGTTGACGAGAGTTCCTGCCGAAGGTTCGAAGGCTCCTCTGGTGGAGGGTGGTTCCGTTCAGATTTCGAGCACCTGAACCCAGAAACCCGAAATCCCAACCCGTCCGAACCGCATTACTCTGTATCCAAACTCACCAAAAAGCTGGACACCGGCTTGAGGACAATTAGTGCTGGGACTCCTTAACATTACTCTAAAGGATTGAGGCTTGAGGCTATTAGGTTTCCACTTTTTCGGCTTCGACTGTAAGACCCCCGCTTTTGATGGCATCTGCAGCCCGCTTTGGGCCCGACCCTCAATCCTAATATGGGCCCCTAAACCCTAAACCCTAAGCAAAATAAAGGGGCCTTAATAACTAGAATTGGGTTTTGGGGTGATGAGGGCATGACGCGGTCCGAAGCATCCTTCACACAGGGCTTTTGCCCCTGCCTCCTAACAAATCGCGCCAACCGGTATCTTGTAGTAGATATAAATATAACCAAACCTAGGGCCTAGGGAATAATATTGGTAGTTATTATTCTGGCCTTTACATTACACGCCAAACTCGCTTGCACATTTCGGGCGAGGGTTGCGGTTTGTGGGTTGCATAGGTTTTCTAGCTTTTGGGCTGCCATGGAGGTTCAGGGATTACGGCGCGTAATTAGGTTGGCGGGGCTTACAGGGTTTACTTAAGGGTGTGTCTGGGTCAGAGAGGGCTTTTTTCAACGGCTCCCAAAGAGTTTCTCGATACAATGAGGCTGGAAGTGATTTGGTCCGACAGTGTTCGTATTCCTGAACACCAAACAGGCTAAAACCCACGCATTCTGCACCCAAGTACATCCTGAATCGCCCTGAAGCCTGGAACCCAAGCGTCTTCTCCAAGGGCCCTAACCCCAAACCCTAAGGCCCTAAGCGAGAAATCTAAGACCCACCTTTGACCTGGGTTTCTCATCATAATGCTACTATTCTATACTTCCTGGCGCCCAAAGCACCCACAAAGTTCAAGGGTTCTGAGAGGCGCGAAGAGCTGTATACTCCGTTTGGAGGTCCTTGTTTTCGAACCCTTATATACTTGCCCTACTACTCCCTCATAGGGACCCCGATCATGAACCCCTACATACTCCGGTGCAAAGGTAGATCTTTTGAGTCTCAGGGAAAAGGGCTTTGGGTTCATCAGTGGTTTGCTGGGTCCTCAGCGCCACCATTCAGACGCCCTCCGTCACGAAGGCACCGGTGCCATCAAGCCGAATGTGATGAATTTCGGTGCTGATCAATACGATACCGAGGTGCGGCACTCAAAACCCCCAAGGCTACCAAAATGGAAGCCATAATACGGGGGCCTGAATAAATTACCAATACTATTTTTTGGGGGTCCTCATTATAATTATCCTTGAAAGGCCTGAAAACCCCATTCTAAGTATTAAGGCCCCTATATTACGTAACAGAGCCCAACAATCCTGAATAGAGCCAGACGAAGCCTTCAAGTCATACTGATGCGGGAGCCCGGCTGTGACTCAAGCCAGGGGCACCGTTGCCCCTGGATTCTCGGCGAGTTCTCCGCAAGTTTCTACAGATGTGACTGCTTAGCAGATCTGATTCGCGAAGCCTGTGACAACGTAGTTCGAGGTTTGGTCTAGGGCTATGGGCTTAGGGCTCGGATGGGCCGTCCCTGTCACAGGATCCGGAGGAGGAAGTTCAGCAGAAGGCGTTCTTCTCCTACTTCTACCTCACCATCAATGTAGGCGCCAAGCTTCGGAGACCTAAGCCTGACCTCCCAAACCCCCAGAGCCTTAGCCCCAAGCCCAACTTTTGAACTCTGTGCCTTCTGCCTTGGATTTAATATAGGGGCCTAAATAATTACCTATACTATTTAGGGGGGGGTGTGGCTGAGGCAGGTCTATTTGGAAGCTGCCGTTCGGAGTAATATGATGTGATGAATCTCTTACGGCTGGAATTTCTAGTACAATTAGAACATACAATATCGTAAAACGTTTGATCCTGTCTGTGCAGGGCACTCTGCCGTCCGACGTTGGAAACGGCACAACTTACATGCGAACTCTGTTTTTTGCCAGAGATCTTTAGAAGCAAGTCATCCATCTATAAGCCTGTTCAATTGTCGCTTTGTGAGATTTGCAACGAGAAGACATCGATTGACAAAGTCACGGAACAACCAAGTCCGGCCGAGCAGTACTGCGAAAGGTGACAGTCGTTACCGAGCCTTTGTTTTGTTAGTAGTGACGTGTGAACAAAAACAGAAGAAGGCCTTACTTTTGACGATTAAAGAAGTTTGGGTAACCGCAAAAAACACGAACCCAGAGCACGAACGATCCAGCCCCTGCACCACGGCCCAGACGCGACGACCATTCAGGGCCTAGGGCTGGGAGGGGGAGCTTCTCCGCTTTATTCCCCAGTCCCATGTGGTTGCAAGGGTTGGACCGTTTGTGTATGACCCTAAGCTATATACCCTAATTATAAATTTGACTCAAATTTTCATGGCTGAAGCCTGCCCAATGATTTACGAAAAGTCCCACTTTGCCATCGCGTGAACCCGATTTCTGCTGTTTTGCTGCTTCGCCCGTAAAGAGCTTGCAACACAGCATGTACTTGGATATTCCCTAGACAAACACTTTCTGTAAAATGACTTTTGGGCTCCTGCCGGAACTTCACTTGACGCAGAGTCACCAGGCGGTGTCGCGACGTCACAGGACCAGACTAAATGTGTGTATTTAACGACCACGGATTGATAGCGTTCAGAAGCGGATGCAACAATCGACTCCTGCCACGAGAAATAGAGATGTATAGCGGCTCCGACACGAAGCAGCAGGTGTAAATTGTAACGGC